TATATAGTATGGTGTGACGTTTGTCACGCAGCTAAAATGAAATGTGTGCATAGATCGATACAGTTTGATATTTATATAGTATGGTGTGACGTTTGTCACGCAGCTAAAATGAAATGTGTACACAGATCGGTACAGTTTGATATTTATATAGTATGGTGTGACGTTTGTCACGCAGCTGAAATGAAATGTGTACACAGATCGGTACAGTTTGATATTTATATAGTATGGTGTGACGTTTGTCACGCAGCTGAAATGAAATGTGTACACAGATCGGTACAGTTTGATATTTATATAGTATGGTGTGACGTTTGTCACGCAGCTAAAATGAAATGTGTACACAGATCGGTACAGTTTGATATTTATATAGTATGGTGTGACGTTTGTCACGCAGCTAAAATAAAATGTGTACACAGATTGGTACAGTTTAATATTTGTATAGTACAGTGTGTCACGCAGCTAAAATGAAATGTGTATACAGGTTGGTACAATTTGATAAATCGTCACTCATTTTCCTGTAATAGACATCCTAGTTTCGCGCGTGTAAGGTGACATAGTTTAGTATGTTCAAGGCGGCATAACTTTGGATGTTTAAGTCAGTATGGATTGACAGATCTCTTCCCACATCTGATGTAAGGTTATGCAGCTTATCATGTTTAAAGTACGGTGGTTAGGTACCACATTAAGGGATTCTAAATCTATGGGTGAAAGCAAAGAAGAATATTTCAAGTCAAACAAACTATATCTGCCATATCCAGTGCGATGAGACCTTTCTTAAAATATCAGGGCTTATCATGCCAGGGGGGGGGGGGGTACACGACAGACAATAGTTGTCAAGGTGCTATTTATATCATCACTTGCATCAACAACTGTTATGGCGTGAATTATATGAAATAAGTGAATTGTAATTATTACCAGTTTTGGTTAAATTCTTTACACATAAGAATGAACTTAAGGATTAATAACACGACTCATTATTGGATGTACACTCTAGCATGGATTGTCATAAAGCTATTTGTATGCTGTTTTCACTGTATTTTAGTACATGCATGGTGGAACAGTTTGGAATAAGGGTTTCATATAGATTAACATTTAAGTTAAATCTTTATAGGCTTTTTCCTCTTTTGATATCTGCCGTTTAGCGTGTAAAACATTCTATTTTATTCGTTATTATTATTATTACAATTGTTTTTAACAGGAATGAGGCCTCTTCATTATGCAGTGTGGCAGGGGAAACTGGAACCAGTAACATTACTTCTTCAGTCTAACGCTTTTGTTAATGAACCAACCAATCACGGTGAAACACCTCTTCATTTCGCGTGTCAACATGGTCACGTGCACGTGGTAATTCAAACTTTGGGTCATCTATTTTTTTTTAAATCGTATGAGTGAAACATCAGATTGTGATTTGAAAAACAACAATAACAGACACTACAAAATATTTATATATTTTTTTAATTTGTCGTGGTTTATATTTTTTCGTGTTAAATTTTCATCATTAATGTATCGTGATTTTCTCGTTTCTGTGACCGTTTAAACTTTAATATACTTAACCCTACTAAATGTTTGATAGTACAATCACTAATACTTTCTGAAATCCGTTTTCAGGCATGCGCACTGCTACGTCATGGTGCTAATCAAACTCAACGAAATCACGAACATAAAACCTCTTTAGATTTGGCCTGTGAGTTTGGGAGGTACAAGGTTAGTAAAATGTATTTTTGTTCCTTTATCAGAGTATTTGAGCAAATGCTGCTTCAACATAACTTTCATTGTCAGTAGTGTTGTATTTATGTTTTATTCAAGCGACTACAGAAGGTTCTAGTTACAACTGGATAGCTTTTTGACTATATTATTTTAGAAAGGTTTATACAAACAAGGCTGTGCATCTGTTTAGTTGAGATCTATAACCTACATTCAGGAGACCTTCGTTTTACACAAGGCCTTTGCCAAGAAAGCTGACCTCAATGGGCCTGACGCTGTGGCGTAATATCTAATTTGCGTATATGACTTTGAAATGTTTTTTTTTTTTGGTGTACGAAACTTGAAGATAGCTTTTATATGCGGAAACATCTGTTAGCTGAATTCTTGCACATATCTTAAAATATAACGTTGATAAACAGAAACATCGTCAGATCAACGTAGGCCGGTAAGGCAATCACTGATTGTCATGTCCTTAAGCCAATCAGGAAATGTCACAGACCTACTGAAGGATGTGCAGATTGTATAGGAATTCTGTTTAGAGGCAAAGAACTCATTTTATAAGCTGTACTATTTCCTATAGATCATTTTCCAGACGGTTTTGCTATGATTAGTGTCTGGCGAAAAGCTTCAGCAGATATTTCAACGCTGTATTTTCAAGTTTGAATAAGTCGACTTTCAAGATCTACATATCTACATGTGCCGATGTTTCCATTTATCAACGTTATATTTTAAGATCTGTGCAAGAACTCAGCTAACAGATGTTTTTGCATATAAAAGCTATCTTCAAGTATATGACTTTATAGGTTTTGATGACAATAATAGAAATATCTGCTGGGTATTGGTTTTTGTTGTTGCTGTTAGCACTGTGGGCGATATTAATAAGAGAATAAGCAACTAAACTGTCATTGGATTGTTTCTTTCGTAGCTACTGCCCCCCCCCCCCCCATCCCACCCGTCCTTGTCCAAATGTCATTTAAAGTCCTCCTGACGCGTTTGTGCACCAGTGTGAGTAACCTTTTCTGGACTGATTTGTGAACAAAGCACGCTTCTCTAGCTGCTTGACGAGACTGTACGAAACTATTATTATATGGCATACTGACAAGTTAATGTTTCAGATCACATGGCTGATCTCCAGGTGTCTGATTTTCGTAACGATGATCTAATGGGTGATTGATGTAATTTTACCCTCTTCTTGTTAATGTAGTTATAACTTTACAAATTACTATTATCTTTTAATTTGTTCATTGAGAAAACTTTAACGATTGCAGTATTATGGTTGTAGGCAGGGCTGACGAGGAGAGCAGCTGGCCCGTGGGATATTCCGAAGCTCACTAGAAATGCATACTACTTAATCAGCTAAAATAGCTACTCTTTTTTTCATGCATTCATGAAAAAATTTGTCACCTAAATTTCTTTTATGAAAAATCGGCAAAAGTTAATAGATAGAAAGAAATGGGGTCCCGATGATGTTACTGACCCCGGAGCTTAGGCTGGCTCTCGACGCCCCTAGTTGTAGAGAGTATTTTATCATAGTTTTATATATCTTGCTTGCAAATACAATACTATATGGGCTAGTATTTAACACCAGAGAACGTGAAATGGCCAATTTTCATGATGATCCTTTCAGGTAGTGGAAGTTCTTCTAAATGCTAACCATTGTCACTCCTTATTGGCTGAGAACCCGCAAGACATACTGGATAATAATCGAACCACGTGCCTTCATCTAGCTGCCAGAAATGGTCATCGTGATGTTATTAGGTAATCTTTATTTATATCTGGAAATTCCTGTTAAAAGCGGACTTCTAAGCTTAATTAATTTTATTTCTTATTTGTGATCTCTAGTGTAATATGTAGAAGTTACCCAACAATTATCTGGCATGTGATTAAACAGAAGTGAATGGTACACTTACAGCGGTACTAATGATAAACCAGCTCATAAATCAACGTCACAGGGGGCGTTACAAAAACTGGACTAACTAATTATATCTATTCGATTTACTGGTTGGTGATCAGATGGCAAATAGCCAAAAGAACGTTAAAGATAGAAATTGTCTTTGTGTTGGAGATATTCATATCAACAGTAATAATAATAATAATGAGAATGTAAATCTTGATGTTTACATAACCGCCAGGAATGGATGCTCATGGCATAAGCATACAACGGCATAAACCAATACTTATTAATCAAGGAGTAATGGACTTTGTTACTGAAGGATCGAAGTATATTTGGCCCAATTCGAACGGTACGATTTTTTAAATTAATTACAGCATGTCGGTAGTTAGTAATGTTCGTGTACATTTGGCTAAGATGAATTTTTATCTAGTTAGTCTTTAGAAAATTATATTTGCTAATCAGAAGATAAGTTTACTTGTATAAAGAAAACAACGGCTGAGAAAAAGAATAAGAAATAGAATTTAGCAGCTAAAATATAAAAATACCTATTTTAAAATATTCAAGGCAGCTATGTAGCATGTAAACATGAGCTATCGATAACACAGCAAGTTTCTGTTCCTAGCTATCATCAACAAATATGAATATATTAGTACTTAGTTATTTTTGTTCCTTTTACGGAATGAAAAGATATATACAAAATATAAATCTGGATATTTAACTTTCTAGTGACAATACTATTCGCCAGATGGCGCAAAAATCACAACAAACTTCGAGGAAAAGCTTTTTTTTCTTTTGTTTTTACCGTGAAGCTACACAAAGAGCTACCTGAGATCTTCGACTGCAGGGGATCGAACCCTGGATTTTACCTCTATAAATCTAAACTTGTCGACGACTACTGAGAGCCAGCATTGTACATGATGCATGGAGTAGTAAAGTTGGTACTGTACAGATTACATCGAAATATATGTTCCTAAAGACTGGTACAAAAAGAAGCGTAGCCATACGAGAGCGAGTAGTGGCGCTGATACGCTGGTGACAGTACTTTCTATCAACAATTTGTCTTTAAAAATGCATAAAGTCGCACACTTTAAAATATTGAACAACGAAGTATTTATATTTACAGGAAGTTGTCCCACCTGAAACCGGTTGAATCATTTCACACTGAGAGAAATTTTCGGCAAGTAATATTAAGAATTTTTGAACACGAATCATTCGTGTAATTTTGTAGCATTTTGTTAAGCGCTGATGTTGTACAATGAAAGATTCGTGTTTCAATTTCTCCTTTACACAGATTGCTACTTCGGGCAGGAATTGACATTAATAGGTCCACGTTACGAGGAACAGCTTTACATGAAGCCGTTTATCATAGCAGGTTGGACAGTGTGAGACTGTTGATAGAGGTGAGTTTATATACAGGTGACCTTTTATAGCAGGTTGGAGTATATAAACTCACCTCTATCAACAGTCTCACACTGTCAACAGTCTCACACTGTCCAACCTGCTATAAAAGGTCACCTGGACAGTGTGAGACTGCTGACAGAGGGAAATGTACAAGTATACGAATTCTCATGTTGGAATAAGATAAAGTAATACGAGAGAAGAATTAAATTACATGGAAACGATAACATTTCACGTAGGTATGTAAACATTTCACGTAGGTATGTAAACATTTCACGTAGGTATGTAACTTCTTTGTTAAGGTTACAATTGTTGTTTATAAGTGTGTTGGTATTGGATAGAAAAGTGAACTTAACATTTACAGATGTTTAAAGCAGTTAGTGCGTTTTCACTGCAATACGGTCAACAGTTAAGTACAAACACTGATTTCACCTCGCAAGATGGTTCGAATCGATAAAATATATGTTAAAAGTGCTTATGATTACGTATTTCACCTTGCACTCGTTATGTTTTTAAAGCGAAAGCGAATATTCAGAGAAAGTTCTTTTCATTACAACTTACTGTTTGAATACGACTGAAACACTTAGTTTTCTGTAAAAATATGAAAATTAACGTGAAATATTGGTAGAGATGTAGAGGACATTTTAACTGAATTTTGTTCTAGTGCAAACAACGTTTAATTTGTTTTTCATCCCAAAAATTCGACTGCCTTCCAAAATAGTAGTTGCGTCTTATATCAGTAAATAGCTGATAGTTGCTGATTGTACACTTTCTGTCTTTCTTGGTTCGTCTTCTCTTCTTCCTTCTTTCTGTTTTACGACTTTCTCAGTAGACCGTGTTTCCTTGTAGTTCGATTTTTAAAAGCTACACCAAACAACAAAATCTACTTCTAACGCTTGGAGACGGCTTGAATGGGTAATGAAGAAAAACTTTAATATAAGTAAATGTACAACGTTTTATATTAAAGTTTTTCTTCATTACCCATTCAAGCGGTCTCCAAGCATTATTAGTCTCAAAGTGGGTTCCTAGTAATCGAATTTGAAAATCTACTTCTTGTATAACCTTGAACAATTCTAGAAACAAAGCATGATTCAACCTCGGGACCACATGAAAATAAACTTCCAAAGTTTAATACTTATATATATTTTAGATGATGAATATGACGAATTCGATTTTTTTAAACACGGAATTATATCTTAATTGTTTATACTCAGAGGGTGAACAGGTATTTGTAATGTTGTTCTTGAGCAGCTTTAAACTTTAATATCTAGCTCCGGAATTAAAGATGATTATTATGGTCTCGAGGACAAAACAGTAAGACGTAGCGAACAGAACCACTCCAGACACACAATCCACTCGAATCTTTGTAATTACATGGTAGAGACACATATCCTGTAACATAAAGGATTATAGACTAAAATGCTGTGTTTTAATTCTAAGAACTTAGTTTGTGCTTGTAAACTTGCCGGAAAGAACACAACGTTAAACCGGACTCTATTTCATCATATTTCTTATTATATTTGAATAAAATCAATTTCTCAGATTACGTAATGGTATGTACTATTCTCGGCCTAAGGGCTCTTGAAAAGTTGAATGCACTGTTAGTGAACGAAGAATAAACGAGAAAAGCATATTTCGCGTGTTGCCAAGTCGTTGTTAAATGATGTTCCTTGTTGTGATACATTTCAGTAAAAGGATGAACCACACGTTACTTGTTTGTTTGCTTTTCGATGGTTGAAATATTTGACTACTTATTATAAGTACGTTATATGATGTTCCTTGTTGTGATGCATTTCAGTAAAAGATTGAACAACGTTAGTTGTTTGTTTGCTTTTCGATGGTTGAAATATTTGACTACTTATTACAAATACGTTATATGATGTTCCTTGTTGTGATGCATTTCAGTAAAAGATTGAACAACGTTAGTTGTTTGTTTGCTTTTCGATGGTTGAAATATTTGACTGCTTATTACAAATACTTTAGATAAAATTATTGCGAGCTGTTCATTTTAAATGCTATTAAAATATTAGCTTGTGATATTGTTTGTCTTCTATAAAAACCGAAGAAACAGGCGAAAATACATGTATCTGATGCAAATACACTAAGGAAGTATTGTATATACTATTATACAAGAACTCTGTATATATATATATATTTGCAAGATTTAACTAGTTTGTAGACATACTTGTTTCTTGTGCTTTATTGTTTACGTCTAAAATTTGTGTCTGAATATAATGTACTTTCTCAGATGTTAGAATAAAATAAACTCGCTGGGATTTGAATGAAAATTATAATTTAATTGAAACCTGAGAATGTGACCGTTAATAAAATCGGTTATAAAAGCGGACGAAAAGTAAGAGGTGACAAAAGATTAGCTTAACTGCCTATTAAAACAGTATAGTGTTGCGTCATCGAGATCACGTGACTATTCTCACGCCCTCTAGTTTCTAGAACTATCTTGTTCCTTCATAAATGCCCTATCATTTACTAGATAGCGTAGTCTGGTATATAAAAGAGGGTGACAACGTGACGAGATAATGTATTGTGTGTGAAGATAGGGAGTAATTGAACTGCAGTCACAGGGTATTGTTGAAGTTAACGTTCGTTCGTTATAGTGTTTGTTTTAGCGCGAATATTGAAATTAAGTGTATCGTAAAGTTATATTCGGAAATAATAAACCAGTTTTATTAAGTAAGGACTTGTGTCGCTAAAGTTTAGTCGGAACGAAGTTACGGAAAGTTAATTAACAAACGGAGACGTAACAATAGTTTTCAAGTAGCGGAGTAATACATATCCAGGGCTTTCTGTGAAGTTTTCAAATGGCGGAGTAATACCTATCGAAGGCTTTTTGCATAGTTTTCATGTGGAAGAATAATACGTATCCAGGGCTTTCTGGCTCTATACATATCACCATGTTACGATTATTTCATGTAATGTTGTTTAATTTGTTTTACCCTGTTAGATGTGGTATTTAGCAACAATTTATACAAACAGCTACACGTCGTATATTGGTTTCAGACATGCATCATTACTTAATAGTTTTGCCGGAGAATCAGTTTTGTGTTACCTCTTTCAAAATATTACTCTTTAGGTCAAATGTATGTCTAGGTTAGATCCCACTAGTATTAAACATGAAATACATCTCACTGAAGGAACTATTTAGTGTGAAACCTTTATGTACGTTCTAATTCTAGACATAAGTTGTTTAAATCTTTTTATGTCATGTTATGACTAGGTAGTGTTAACTTAGCCCTTGTTTGTGGTCATGTTAATATTAAAACTTGCTATATCTCCTACCTTAAAATTCAATTTGAATTAAACCTTGATGGTAACGTAAGCTTATCGAAACATACATTTGTAATATAGTTTTCTTCAGTACCCATTCAAGCCGTCTCCAAAAATGATTAAATTTTGTTATATGTTCTTCCGTATCAGTAATTTAGTGGCAAACCTTGTTACACGTTCTTCTCAAACATCCATTTAGTGGCAAACTTTATTACACGTGCTTCTAAAACATCCATTTAGTGGCAAATCTTGTTACACGTTTTTATGAATCATGCATTTAGTGGCAAACCTTGTTGCACGTTCTTCTGAATTATACGTTTAGTGGCAAACCTTATTACACGTGCTTCTGAAACATCCATTTAGAGGCAAATCTTGTTACACGTTTTTATGAATCATGCATTTAGTGGCAAATCTTGTTACATGTTTTTATGAATCATCCATTTAGTGGCAAACCTTGCTACACGGTCTTCTGAAACATCCATTTATTGGTAAACCTTGTTACACGTTCTTATGAAACATCCATTTATTGACAAACCTTGTTACATGCTCTTTTGAAACATCCATTTAGTGGCAAGCCTTGTTACATGTTATTCTGAATCATCTATGTAGTGGCAAACCTTGCTACACGTTCTTCTGAAACATACATTTAGTGGCAAACCTTGATACACGTTCTTCTGAAACATCCACTTAGTGGCAAGCCTTGTTACACGTTTTTATTAAAGACCCACTTAGTGGCATACCTTGCTATACGTTCTTCTGAATCATCCATTTAGTGGCAAACCTTGCTTCACGTTATTCTGAAACATCCATTTAGTGGCAAGCCTTGTTACGCGTTTTTGTGAATCATTCATTTAGTGGCAAGCCTTGTTACGCGTTTTTATTAAACACCCACTTAGTGGCAAACCTTGGTACACGTTTTTCTGAATCTTGTTATATGTGTGTGTGTGTGTGTGTGTGTGTGTGTATATATAGCTTACAAACTATTGATTACATTAATTGTTAATAGGCGATTAAATCAGCACTATAAAACAATAATGAATTAAATATCGAAATATCGTTATCGGTCCTGGTTTCAACTTATTATCATAACGGATATATATATATATTACGCAGTGATATTCGTGTTTACGTTATTTTGTTGCCTTTATATATGTATATTCTGTTGTGAGAGTAAAGTTCCATCTGGTCCTGAGACAATCAAGTTTTTCTGGTCTTGTAAAGTCTCATAAGCAGTTGTGCCAGTTAAGCTGCTATGATATTGCAAAAGAATGAGTTTCTGTTAGTTAGTTGTGTGCAAGCTTGTAGACCTGGAAATCCTGTATCTTTTGAAAATCGGATTATTGAATTCCAGATGATTGTGTGCTTTGGAAGGAGAATAAGTATTCCGGCCTCTGTTGTTATCACAAGAAAAAAGGGTATTTTTGCTTCCTTTGGTCTCTGTTGTTATTACAAGAAAAAGGGTGTTTTTGCTTCCTTTAATCTCTATTGTTATCACAAGGAAAACAGGTGTTTTTACTTCCTTTAGTCTCTATTGTTATCACAAGGAAAACAGGTGTTTTTACTTCCTTTGGTCTCTGTTGTTATCACAAGAAAAAAGGGTGCTTTTTGCTTCCTTTGGTCTCTGTTGTTATCACAAGAAAAAAAAGGTGTTTTTTTTTGCTTCTTTTGGCTATTGTGGCCTAAAAACATAAATCAAGTTATAATTTTCAGTTGATCA